AAGTTTAATGTGACTGTCTCTTTGATCTTCGATTTTTTTTAATATCTGGACTAAAAAGTGAAATTTTTTGTCCAAAACCTCATTTGTCCGAATGATAACTTATTAGAACGATACAACGTACTACGTGTAATAAATTTCATATGCATCAAAAAAGAAATAATCCTTTTAGAATCAAGAGCATGCAAAATTCAAACAAAGTTTGGTGATTTCGGAAAAGAACTATGTAGTACATTTTTATCGTCTCTTATTAGAATTAAAACTCATGAAAAAAATTCTAATAACTACAAGAGAATTTCTTATTAGATTTTTTCGGAAAATCAAAAGGTCACAAACTAAGTTTCTAACATAAAAAGAAAATACGAAACAATAAAAACTAAGAACAAGCTAATAAAAAGACAATATAACAATGGAAATCTCGCATAATATCGCCCATCACCTAAATACCATTCGTTACAACTAAACTGATATAAAAACAACGCTATTACAAAATGAGTATAAATATAAAAACAATAACAAATAAAGGTGTATCTACACTGTTGTTAGAAATGTTACTCATTTTCTGTCAGCCAGGATCTACAGTATACAACCATGAAAACACCGGAACATTGAAGTCCGGCGCGTCCCAGGGACATGAGTAACTGTCTTGGTTCCCGCAACGAAGTGAATCAGAAGATATTATAAGAGGAGAAGAAGAAAAAACTATAGTTTCCACTTCCCTCGGTGAATTACTGCAGGAGACAGAATGAATTAAGCCTAAAGGGCAAGGCACAAAGGAAAGAGACTACAACTGGGTGAAGCCCAGTCGCCAAGCACCACGAAAATTTGACTAAAAAAATAAGTGGGTCCTATGTGTGAACTATTATACTTGCTTCCAATAATAGGTATGGCAAAAGCGTCTAAACGCACGGAAATTTGTTCTAGATTCTACAAGGTACGTATAATGCTTATTACCTGACGTTGACTTTTAAGTATTCTAACTACACTAATTAAAATTGAAAACCGCTTTTTTACCCTTTTTCCAACTATTTGGGATCGATACAATATGTCTTTTTCATTTTTCCCTATCTGACACAATGCGTCATCTGACCACAAACTCCTTTATCTTTCAAATCATTTTTTACACATCTTTTCCTAACTTTGACAATTCAGTAAAATTTTTCAACAAAAAAAAAAAGAAAAAACAGGCAGTGTGTAAGCACCATAACAAAAAAAACACTTTTCGTGATAAAATGTCAACGATTTACAAAAACTGTCGTGTTGTTCTACATGGTATCCTATGACCGAATGTTTTGGGCTATTCGATTAGCATATCATACGCATGATATCCGGACCCTATGTGGCGATAATATCACATTCATTTGTTTTAACTTAACTATAGATATTTTCCTGTGACTTGTAATGTGTGATTTTTTAGTTTTTTGGTTTACGTGAAAGTATTAGTAATTTTGATAGTATGTCATAGAAACCTTTGCTTCAATCAAAGGCATAAGCATGTATCTTGCCGCGGAGGACTTAACGGGTTACCGGGGCTTTGGCTCGGAGGGCAGGAGTAGGAACGGGGTGGTTTTTAGTCAGTAAGAGTCTGACACTCCCTCTTGCCTCACTCAGGCGGGAGCAGTCATCCGATGATTTTCCCCACTGAAATAAAAAACATGTGTCTTAATGTCAAAGATACGTTTCGCTAGTTATTAAAGTTCAAATATGTTTTGCGTGACAATATTCATACTCGATATGTTTAAAAGATTATAAAATTATTTTCGCCCTTGAAAGGAGTAAATTAAGTTCTAAATAACAAAAAACTATACTCCATTCCAGTGGTTTACTTCCAATACTTTCGTTGAATACAGACAAATGTTTGTAACATTTAAATATTAATATGTATAAAGTAAAATCAGTAGTGTTTCAAATACGCTATTTATTATGTAAAGTGAACATTCAAAGATAAGTATCTTCATCAAAAACATTTCTGGTATTTCGGTTCAATATAAACTGTCGGAATTTCGTATCGTATCGTAAATGGCTGAATTATACATATTTTATTATTATAATTATGACGATTTTTCACCAAAAAGAATGACTTTCGTATTTAATTCTGCGTTTCTTTCTTTTATATAAGACCTATTAAAAGTTCGTGATGGGGAAATTATTATAATATCGAACTAACCGCTGAAGAATTGCTTTTTTCGTTGATTTTGAACTAGGTATTTTAAATATCGAATATGTAGGGAATGAGGAAAATATAAAATCGTTGATTAGTATTTCTATTATACACTGACTAATGATAATAACTAGCAGTTGCCCGCGACTTCGTCCGAGTAGGATATGAATTTTAGAACATAACAATTTTTTGTTTCAATTTTCCAAAATAAAAGTAGCCTATGTTACTCCTTAGTGCATCTTCTGAATGCCAACAAAAGTCCCGTCAAAAGCGGTCCAGCCATTCCAGAAATTAGCTAATACTTACAAACATACAGACAAAAATTGTAAAAAAATATTATTATGATATGTGTATTTTAATATTACAAACAGAGAATCTAATTTTATTTATCTGTATAGATAAGTTAGGCCTTAATCCTTATCCTTACTAATATTATAAATCAGAAAGTGAGTTTGTTTGTTTGTTCCGCTTTCACGCCATAAGTACTAAACCGAATGCTTTGAATTTTTGTAGATGTATAGTTAGAAGTCTGGATTAAATAATAGGGTACTTTTATCCCGGAATAATTTGATATTCCCGAGGGAAAACAAATGTATTGGTATAGATGGCGCTGTGTGTATAGATATATGTCACATTGGCTTTTGATCCTTTTGTGACGCGAGCGAAGCCGCGGGTAAAAGCTAGTATTACTTAATTTAAAAAAAATGTTGTTGTCTTACTCACTTAGCTGATAAGATTCCGTGCTACGAAAGTGCTACGAATTCGTAGCACAAGTAAATTAACTTTATTTTTTACTGTTAATATTAGAGGTAGATATGTTATATTCTTTCTAAGATACTTACACTATACTTTAATTCTTATTAAACTATCAATGTAAGACTAAGATACACAATCTTATAACGTCACAAACATTTTTTTTTTTCAAAACACGTTAGCTACCAAAAATTGATCGTTGAAAAATCCCACTTTTTTTCTATCTACGACTTCTTTTAAACGTGACAATACTGAACGTGCCTATTTAACCGACACACACAATATACCTTCAACGGTCGTTTCATTCACACGGAACAAATATGGTTCAATTTAACTGTGAACTAAACATGCAATTTTGAATGTAATTACTAGGAATTTTTGACAACATGATATAAGTAGATAGAATTTTTTTTGAGGGGGGAAATCATCGAATGACTGCTCCCGCCTGGGTGAGGCGGGAGGGAGTGTCAGACTCTTACTCCCGCCTGGGTGAGGCGGGAGGGAGTGTCAGACTCTTACTGACTAAAAAACCACCCCGTTCCTTCTTCTGCACGTCGAGCCGGAGCCCCGGTAACCCGTTAGGTTCTCCGCGACAAGTAGATAGTATAAGCTCTAAGTACGTCTTGTCCACTTGTGTACATAATTATGTATCATAAGCAGAATCAACGGCTTTTCTTTCTATTTATTTATTTATTTATTTATTTATTTATAAGCACATGTATAATTTTACAGCACAAGCCAAAACATTATACAGTTAAACAATAAAAAAAATGTTACTTAATTACTATTTTACACTTACGTAACAGGTATCTTATAAAAAAGGAACGATAATTATAATTACTTAAAACTAATTCATCAGTCGTTATTTTATTCTATGTGTTAGTGAATAACACTCTAGAAAAAAAAGTACAGAAGCATACCTCCTGTTTAATTACCCTTAATGTTAGTTAGCGTGCGAAAGTATTTAGGAAGTGAGGAACTTAGATGTTATCCTTTGTACGTATATAAACGTCATATGGCGGAAACTTCGCCTAAATTCCTCAATTTCAACTGAATTTTAGATAATAGTTTGTTGTGCTTTTATGTGGCAGTTCTTGTGGCTAGTTGGTATATACTTATTTCATGTAGATATTTTGTATTTTCATATACAACTTTGTAGGTAGAAATATCTACCATTGTGCTAATGTATTACTTATGTAAAAAGATTTATGTCAGCATTTACTTGTACGCCTCGTTGACAAAGCAAGTCTCGCCGAGTCTAAACACTAGCGACGTAATATATCTAACATTATTATAATTTAGCCGTCGGTCGCTCAACTGACCGGAGGAAATGATTTATCAGTGCTGTGTACGTGATTTGCGAGCGCGGGCGCATGCGATTTAATCACAGGAAGCAACACCGGCGTGCCGTGATAAATCTGCGCAGGAACTTATCTATCCGATGGCCAGCTGCAGCCCGTGATTCATAATGCAGCGATAGTGCTGTTTATTTTGCTAGGAACCGCCTTAGGTGACGCTCGCACTACCACTCTACCTATGCAAGACATCGGTCCCTTTGTACCTCTTGTTTTATTGTACACAGCCTGATTTATGACTAGAAAGCTAACGTCAAATTAATTCAACGACCATTTTAATTCTTTTTTCGCTTCAAAACTTCCTTATACGGTTTAGTTTACGTCTCCATAATTTATGAAAATGTCGCGACATTCCCAGAGAAGATGAGCAAGAATACTTATTTATGCGCAGCGTTATCAGGCATGGCATCTAAAATAACTACAAGTCATTATAGTCAAGAAAAACAAAATATATCAAACTCATTTTCAAGAGGGCCTCACATCACAGCAAGTTAGTCATCAATAAAGGTTTACGAGCACAATCTTCTCGTACTCTGTAACTATTCCAAGTCGCGGCACGTCAAAGCCTCTATTCGTAGAAGTTGTTCGTAAAAACCAGTCTGTAGGCGCGCGCTACTGCTCGCGTGCTGAGCGCGCGCGACGCCCCGCTCCCGGCACACGCTCAAGCGCGCGCGCCCGCCCGGCCCTACTATATAAACCCCATGCCCTTCCTGATTCAATCATTCCCTGCTGACGCATCGTGCGCGCATGTTACTCCGTATCGTATCGTAGTAGCATTGTAAATACGTAGTCGTAACTTGTTAATCTAAGTTCGTAGTATAACAGTAGTAAATAAATATTCAAAATGTGTTTGGCTAAGGATGACACGCAATCACCGCAGAAGGAGGTGCCGTCACCTCGCTCACCTTGGGCAAAGCTTTTAAACCGTCAGGTATGTTTCCAGATTTAATCGATTTAGACTTTGTCGTTTTTCACAAATTTGTCCCCCAATAAACACTACTTGTTCTGTTATTACTTGTGTACTTATGATTGTTTTCTTTCTTTACAGAGCTACAAACCTCGGCTGCCTCGCAAGGTGTCGTCATCTACGCGAGTTAATCTTAATAAGTGCTGGTCCAAGTTGGGGGAGTTGATCTCCAACGCTGGGCCGCGCACTGACCTACCATCGCAAAAGACTGCATACTCCGAGGAACCTCTTCTCATACCTTTCTCGGACTTCTTCTATCCTGTGGACCCGGTGAAACCGGTGCCAGTCGAGGAAAATGACAACGCTGAAAACCAGAACATTGCGAACAACCGTTTCGAGTTACTCAATGAAGACTCGGAGATCAGCGACAACATGGCCAACGAAGTGAGGGAGATCTGCTACTCGGCCTCTAAAAACTGCTTCGTATGTAAACTTTGTTATTAGTTATTAAAACTCTTCTTCAGTTCTTCAGCTCTAAATGCAGTGAAAACAAAATCGCGTCTTCCATGAGTAGTTGTAAACGTGCTCGATGGCACAGATCCATTTGTCTTCCATTAGACTTAGTGATGTGATTGGTGCGACGCCTCGTAGTGATGTAGCTCGTAACGTTGTGATCTCTAGTAGATAGTAGTGAGGCGTTGTGTCATCGTTTAAATTAGTGTTGTAACAGTAAATTGTCACAAGTTTTGGTAGACAGCTTTAATGAAACGCACTGTAATTATCCTGCACCAATCTCAGCCTATCATTTGACGCTACTTTCTTCCAGCGTAAAGATACTGCTTTGTTTCTTTCTGAATCAAGTGTCTTCCATTAGTTATTAGTTTTGTCTGTGATACATTAGATTTTAGAACGATTGAAAGCTTTAACTAGATGTAAGCAGAGTTTATTAGTTTATAAGAGAGATATATTAGTGTAATAAGTACTAGAAAGTTCGCTGAGTGTTATTCACATCACTTAATAGTGTTAGTAGTTCTAGATTATATTTCGTGTGATAATTGCAACGTTAAGTGAACATGTTTAGTGGTTAATGTGTTGATATGAATCGAACATATCAGTAAATGAAGCTTTAATAGTTTGTAAGACAATTTAATTAGAACATAAATCATTTGACTTCCAATTTAATTTTTAGACCAATTTTTTGTTTACTAAATTTCTTTCTTTCTAAGTTTCCGCAGAAGTGGGCCGAACGTGCCAATCTTAATCTAAGTTTAAGGTTGTAACTAGGTTTAAGTTAGCTTTAAGTTTTAAGTTAATTTTTCTATTTCGTTTGATGAATTCTTCCAATTGTGTCAATTATTATTGATTTAGGTGACTTTTTTTCTCTTATTATTATCGTACTTTAACTTAATTATGCTAAGCACTTAAGTAAGTTAAGCACTCGTATCTTTAGACTGATAAGTTAAGAATTCAAGACTTTCGTTTGATCTCCGATTCTTAATAAACATTTATGTATAAATAACATATTCATTTTATTTCAAACACCCTCTAGTCATTAAGAATACTTTCATAACTCTAATAAACAGATAAGACGTGTAAAACACGTGCTGTATACACTTGCAATATGATTCAAATTACAAACAGGCCAAAGGCTGTACTAATAAGTAACCAAGCATGAGGAATTTAAACAGCAAGCTTGAATAACAACATTTCTTATTATAAGAGAATACTTATCGACAATGTTTTTTAAAAATAAAAGAACCCCTTATCAACATGGTCGACAAGTTATTTGCGCGCGAAACTTGTACACTTTCCCGCGCTTTAGGTCAAAATAATAACAAAAGATAATCGCAATAAAAAATAATAGGTATATATTACTAGTACTACACACGAACACACAAGCTGGTGATTACACTGGTTATTCCTCAAAAAGGTAGGCAGAACATATAGACAGAAAGATATTTGAATCGTAGTAAAAGAGAGCAATGGCGTATTTTGATCGTAACAGAACTGACCAGCTGATATCAAAACTATTGTGTTATGAGTCGCAAAAGAATCTTCATTTAGAATCAACTTGTCAAATAACAACAAATAAATATTATATAAGTTTACATTAAGTAATCATACTAAATATACAATTAGCAAAAGAAGACTACTATACCTTTTTTTGTTGCTCATGCCAAATTAATTTACTGAAATATAAATAAGTTAATTAGAAAATGAAGGACCTTATCCTCATCGCAGTCGTGAGGAAAGGTGCTCAAAAGACTAAATGGCAATGCTTAACCTTTGACTAAGATAGTAGCCAGCCTTTCGATTACCTGAAGTGTCAACCATCCTCTTTACAATATCTACTTAGGTTTCAACTGCAAGCATTAGTGACTTTCCATGCCCTATTAATAGTAAATTCATATGGTTATGGATATTCAACCCACGTGCAGTCACGAACGAGGTACAGAAAGGTCAAACAGTTCAACTATTATGACAGTTAGTAAATTATGAATCAATTGCAACTAAACATGTGTTTATTGCATACACTTATGTTTGTAAAATATGTAAGTTATAAATATACAATTATTGAAATGTATAGGTACTTATTATAAGACGAAGATTTGTAGAGTAATGATCTGTATCATAACCTAATGTTTAGTCGAAACCTACCAACGGCTTGTACCAATGTAACTTTTTCGGAGTTATGTGTCTAAGATTATTTAGACACCACTGATAAACGGTGAATGAAAATATCGTGAGGAAACCTGGTCTTATAATTTTTTATTATAAGTTTGAAATCGCCAACCTGTAATGAACAAGCGTGGTGATTAATTCTCAAACCTTCTCCGTATGCGAAAAGGTTTGCTCAGCAGTGGGCACTTATAAGCTGTTAATATGTAAGTATATATGATCTGTATCTTTATATCATCGTAGCAGGTACAAGATGTCCACTGCTGAGCATAAAGCCTACATCAGTAACTTACAGATTGACTGACTGTAATGATTGATAATGATAACAACAAGGAGTAAGAATTATTTTACAGAAATAAGTAATGTGTACGTATGTGTGTTTTCAATAATGGAAATAAAGAAAACCTTTTCAAAATTTTCGTATTCTGAAAATATAATTTCCCATTTCCACTGTTTAATCATTTGTCCATAATCTTATTAACTGTCAAAAATGAAACAAACATCGTGCACGGTTAGATGCTGCCTTAATTAACTATTGATAAAACCCTAAGTCCTTCATTGAACTTGATACCAGTAACAACTTGTATCGACAGGTCGCGACAAGTTCTGATCATAACACCTACATCACATAGCAAAAAGATCACTGAAAAAAGAGCTTTGTGACTCTCATGACATGGTATATACAATATCGCTTTTTATAAATGCAATTATAGTATGAAACTCGTTCTGAATGCAGGTCTAAGTATTCTTACTTTTCAAAAACGAAGTCGTGAATGGGGTTTTTGAAATTCTATTTTTGTAGGTAGTAGGTAGCTTTTTGGCATACATAATTTGCAGAAACCGTTACTTGGTTATATGAATAAAATTAAGTTTAAAAAATTTATACAAACCATGGTGGTAAAATAAGTTTTAATTTTTAGAAATTTAATTAAATCACTGGTACTTTGACTGCCTCATTGGCCGAATGGTCACAAGTGCGACTGCCGGGCAAGAGGTCTCGGGTTTGATTCCCGATTCGAGCAAAGAACTACTTGATTTTTGAATAAAATTCTCAGTAGTAGCACGGAGTCTGGAATTGTGCCCAGCATATGACAATAGGCTCACCGCCTATTACATGGGACTCATTACATGAATAGTAAAAAGTGTGTGTTACATTGTAAGTACAGTGGCGTTAAGTGCCGTAATGTGCACCTCAGTCTATTCCTTCGGGGATTAAAGACGTGATGTTATGTTAGAGGTACACATTATACTACTAAAATAAGTTTTATTTTTAAAAACGTAATTAAATCAAAGTCCAACCTTGCTAACTGAAATCTGGTTAAATTAAGAAGAATCTGTGTCTTGTAAATGTAGAATTTATGTCTAAAATTTAGATAAACAAAAGCGGCCTTAAATTTTAGGCAATCTCTCCACCTTAATGCAGGCTGACCTTTACATTAATTTTAATTCCAATGAAAAACATGCAATAAATCGAATTTGGTAGTGTTGTCCGTTGTCACACTTTGATAAAAGAGGTGTTTTACCCATTATTCGGCGATAAGAACTCGTCTATTCTAATACAAAATTAAATTTAAACGTCTAAAATACATTTTGAACTAATAACAATGAAGATTTCTATCTTTATTGGCACTTATTTCAATCACTAGGGTAAAAAAATACCTTTTTATCATGGAGCTAGCCTTGAAATATACACAGATGATGTACTAATAAAAAAGAATGAGTATAATAAAGTTTTACAACCAAATAATTATGTTATTTAATGCCCATCTACTTATCTCATACATTGGTATTTTATTTTATTGATATGCATTTAGATTATGATTATTTGCTTTGAAGTCAACAGCTAGGTTTTAGTCGAACTGGACAACCTGCACGTATAACTGTATTAATAATACAGTGAATGCCTGTTGCCTATAACCTACTCCGTGCGAGAAGAGGTCTTTGGTCTGCACGGGCCACTTATAGGCTGTTGATATTATGATGTGTGATGCCTATTTATGACAGCTTACAGTCAGTTTCAGCAGTTTTTTTATCGACTTTATGTAAAGATTTAGCCACTACTTAAAGATTTTTATACATTTTTTTGAATAGTATATCAAAACCGAGCCCAGAATTATTTAGAACAATTAGGTATAAAATCTATCGACAAACAGATTTATTTCAGTCTAGTTATTAGTGTAATTGTAATTGTAAATACGTGATTACATACGTTATACTCGTACTACGCTTCAATAAAATTATTGATTTTATTTATTTTTACACAATTTTTTTTATACACAGAAAAAAAAAAAAATGTGCAAACTGTTTTTTTAATTTTTGAGAAAAAAAAATGGTAATGCCAAAATCTAATGCAATATTTATAAAAAAAAGATTTAACATTTTTACATTAATTTTAATATCCAAAAAATTCTCACGAGAATATGGAAATTACTTCTCCGTGACAGTATTTGAATGAAACCTGTTGTGAGATTTGTTTTTATAATAATGTCAAGTTATATACAGGGGTGCAACATGTGTACAATAGGTGGGGTGAGCACTCATTCGTTCATTCATTCATTCAGTAGTAAGTGAACTCTTGGGAAAGGTCATGACCTCTTAATGCACCAACGCATTTTTTCACAGTTCAAAAGGTGAAAAGAAACTTTATAATGCATTATTGTATTGTTGCTTTTGTTGCTTAATCTATTTAGTTTATTGTTAAAAATAATAGATACTAAGGTTACGAGAAGTTTATTTTGTTCTCTTGTAGCTATTATATTTATAATAGTGTTGTTTGGATATGAATAAGTTACTTAGTTTTTTAATCTATTAATTACCTACTTTGACTTCGTGACAATTGCATTATTGTAAATTAATTTTGTCCCGTAATATTTTTTCATAATTAACAAATACACCAGTATTTGTCACTACCAATTCAAATCTTTGAATAAACATATTATAAATTTAAAAAAATATTATTGTAAACAAAACTAGTTAATTCGTCATAACTTTCAGTTAATAAATTTAATATACGAAAAGAATTTTGTCTCAATAATAAATGGGGATTGACGGCTTGTTCAGTTCATATTTAATTATTATCGACAAGAAGAAATTACTTGATGTCATGTATTAAAAAGTTTATGTCGTTTATTCTTAGCACTGATGAACTGTATAAACAAACAGACTGTCAATCATTATTTATCATTTATAGATTACAATCAGCGTCGATATCCAATATCCATATTTATGAAGCTTCTTAAAAAGGATTTTAATTGCAAACCTCTTTAATGAGAACTTTTTCTTAATCCACAATGCCAATTATTCCAATTATAATTAAATTTTAAAAAGCAAATATTGAGGAAAAAAATAAAGAACGTTCGACATTTAAATACAATAATGAGTTTTCTTATTTCGAATACCGTTTTAAATTATTGAAAATAAATAAATACTATAATAATAAGCTTCGAAAGGTTTTCGTCATAAAATTTCGAGTTGCATGTAAATGGTGTATTACAGAAATAAATTGGTTCTGCTCGCTAATTTCTTTGTTAATTATTTTGCATTAAAATTCTCGTAAAGTTCTCTTTTGTGAAACTTGATGTCCATTTATTTTGTACTTTAAAATAATTTTGCTTTTGCATTTAACATATTAACCGGGTTTCAGCTAATGCGTGAGTAATAAGTAGGTACGATTATTATAATCATGAAAGTAACTTTAATGGTTATTACTGAACTTATTCTTACGGTGGGATCTCTTTATTGCTGCTAAACTGATCTGTACTATTAGTTAGTTTATTTTTAATCATAATAATAAAATGAACCATTGAATACTGTCAATTTATCGTTAACTAATTTTCTTAT